TCTAAACCTCCATGTAAAAACGTTCTGTTTGACCAAATATAAATTCAATGAGACCACCAAAAAATTCTGACTTTATTCCACTGATTGTGATCTCCATATGGAGGGTAAGTCAACTCTGATTAACCTTTCTAGTTTTTATTCTAGTTTAGTAGATGTGTAGAAATAGGATAGGAGTCTTTATTATTTTTCTCTTGTAGAATATTACCCATTTTGTTATCAATACTTTAAACCAGCCATTCTAAACCTTTGCTTCCCGACCCCAACTGGGGTCACAAGCTTTCTGGGGGTCGCCAAAGCATTTTATAAAAATATTAATGTGCATATTGAAATTGGCTTCTCACCGGACATTAGAAGGATGGTGAGTAGCTGGTCTCAAATAGGTATTCTATTTCTCAAAACCACTTACTGTGAGCCGTAACTACTGTAAGCTTCATCAAAACAACACCAACAAACCTGTCCAGTAAAGTCACGTAAAAAGCATTCCTCAAATTATGACAGGCAGAAAATTACAACTGGATAAGTCAGACTTTCTGCACCTTCACTGCGTCAATAGTCATGCAGGACGCTGTGCTTGATCTCTCCTCTGATCACACATTATAGATTGCTAGTTCCCTGCATCTGTGCTGGAAGAGTTCTGGTTGTCAGTAGCGGCAGAGCAAGCAGCACTGTCCAAAGCTGCAAATGATGTGTTGTTCATGAGTAGCACTACTCCTAAGAGAAGAGAGTAATTTCTGTGTGGGCGTTTTTAACATGAAGCCAAGAAGCTGCTCTGTTCAAACAAGTAGACACAGCTGTCACATCAACTAGTTGCAGAAAAACAACTCTGCCTTTGACCAGGAAGTTATTTCTCAGAAACATAGATGTTTAAAATTAGTCATGGGCTGTTTTCTAGTGTTTTTTTTTTTTTTTTTTTGCTAAAGTTTAGCACATGTTATCATTTTATTTAATTAAAAAGGACATAAAAGAAAAAGTTAGCATTATGTGTTTACATTTTATCTGCAAAATAATGGGATGTAGCAACCATTGTCGGTGTGTTTGCAAAAATTGCTGTTCAAAAAACATCCAAGTGTTTCAAAATAAGATAATAAAAAGACTAATTGCTGAAATGAGTTCATAAGTACTTGTCCGATTATGTAAATACAACATTAAAAAACATTAGGATTGTTAAATTCAGTAATTTGAGTAATATTTTCATTGGTTGGTGTGGAAAAAAAGTACTTTTATTTAATTTTATTTTCATGCTTAAAATATGTTTGAATTGCTCTTTCCATTGTGTTGCACATGGTAGTATTGCAGTTTGGGACAAGTTTCGTCTCCAGAGCCCCTTTTTGATGGTCTTGGTCTTGTCTACAGCTTGACCTCATATATACTCAGTCTTGTATCGGATATAAAGGACTGGAATGTATTTCAAGACCAACTGTTAAAGCCTGCTGTCACACTCTGAAGCTGTGTGGTAACTTTTATATTTTTCATCTTCAAAATGAGTTGCACATTTCATGTATTTTCATTAGCCCGACTTTAAGTTAGCTTTTTTGCAGTGCGCACATCTAGTTAACTTTATCTGTCAGGTTATTTCTTGTTAAGATGCAATTGATTAATTTCTTTTTCCTTTGAGTTGCCAGTTTCCTTTGGATCTGCTGATGGAGGGCTGCAATGAGCTCCAGCTTTCCTCTCAACTGATTGTTGCAGGCTAATCAGTGGGTCACACCATAAGTAATGGGAAGGGAAATTTGTTTATCATTTGTTTAAATATTCTTAGTTTGGGTGATTTTGTTAATTAGTTAAATTTAAAAATGACTTAGTGTCTCACCAGTATCTGTTTAATTACGTTTATTTGTTTGTTAGTCAGTTATCCCTGGTGTGTGTCAACAGTGGTCTGATCAGCCACTATTTAAGTTTCTTTCATGTCTTGTTTGTTAGGTCAGTTTGTGCTTGTGTTCTTTATGCTAGTACCTGAATTGAAGTCTGTTGTTGTTTGGGGCTGGTTTATCATTTTTTGAATGTTTTTTTGGAATAAATTAAAACCTTTTTTGAAAAATTTCAATGGGTTTCTGGCTGGTTTGTTCAAATCCCTCACACCAACATTATTGAAATATCATTAACCTGGGTTAATGTCCTTGATTTTTTATTTTATTTTTTTAAGTAAAATGTAATGGTTTAATTGGTACTTGGTAGTATAACTAATTTTGTTATTTTAGTCACTAATTCCTTCCCCCTTATTGTGACATGAAGGATTGTTTGCTGGTTTTGGTCTTGACTCAGTATCGCCCTCAGTCTTGGTGTCTGTCCCTAAAACCTTTGGTCTTGTCTCTGCCTTGTTAGTCTCGAGACTCATTTCTCAACCTTTCCAAGAGATGCCAGATGTAGTAATTGATGTCAGAAAAAATGTACTCAACTTACAAAAATGAGGTAAAACATATACAAGATATATTTATTTTCTTAAGTGCAGTACAACTTCTCTTATAGGTTTGTATGACACATGACTTATTTTATAATCACACAAAGGATGACACGCCCCCCAGGAAAAATAAACAATACATGATGTACAAAGTCTGTTGAACCACTTACAGATGTTTAAGCAATCCATAAAAGAGGAAGTGACTTCACATCCTCATACAATTAAGATGGCTTAAAAATAAGCTTTTCTTTCAAACAGTCATCAACTACCGTATTTTCTGGACTATAGGCCGCTACTTTTTCCCCACGCTTTAAAGAAGGTGCAAATTTTCTGTAGATTTTTTTCTAAATGCCAGAGGGGGAAGTCAAAGATGGCAATTTCTCTAACTGTGACTGTCTGGATGTGGTCTCTTCATCCTCTGACATGGGAGCTGGCTCAGAGCTCGTCTGCCTGGCTGTGTGTTTCCTGGACCGGGCCGCCTTTTACAGCTGCTTTTTGTATTTCTGCTTCTGTCTCCTTGAACTCCAGTCGGCCTCAGCAGATGGCTGCTCACACTGAGCCTGGTTCTGCTGGAGGTTTCTTCCTGTTAAAAGGGAGTTTTTCCTCTCCACTCACGCTACAACCATGCTTAGTGTGAAGGATTGCAATTGAGTCAGTGAGTCGATGCAATCAACTGGTTTTCCTTAGATAGAAAACTTTGAATCAATTTGACTGGATGATCTGGTGAACTGTAAAGTGCCTTGAGATGACGTGTTGTGATATGCACTATAGAAATAAACTGAATTGAATTAATGAAAGAATAAGAGTCTAATTTTCATTTAGCACAATATGCTATCAGCACGCACGACGGAGAACAAATGTCCAGAATTCACACAACTGAACAACCCCCATCTTTCAGCAGAAGCTCTTACTGCTGTGAGCCAACAAGCTAATGGGAACTAGCATTCTTCTTCGTCTCTTCTACAGGGGCCAAATGTAGAGCTCTCCCTATAGGTTTGGTGGGAGACAGTTCAGTAGATATCAGCTGCTCATAGCCCAGTACGGCTTATATATGTACTTTTCAAGTTTAAAAAAAAAATGTAAAGGTTGCACCTTATAGTGAGGTGCGCTCTATAGTCCGGAAAATACAGTAAATGGTAAAAACAAGGCTGTATGGCATTTCTCCACTATATAAACCTGATGAGCAGCAAGTTTAACATTGTTTTGGACCTTTTTAGGCCTAATAAATCACCAGTATGATCATACCTAGTGCAGTTAACACCAGTGGTTTAATAGGGTACTGGTAACCAGTTTTGAAATTATTGTATGCAGCAGAGACATTGAAAACAGCCATCACTGTGCTAATACTTACAGGAATGGATATTAAAACGTGTAAGATGGTGCAACAGTGTGCTTTTAAATCACTCTTGATGACTTTATTGCTGAAGATAACACACTGCAGATAAGTAGCTCCAGGTTTCTCATGCTAAAGCTGTCCTGCAACATCTGCTACACATGCGCAAAAGCTTTTTTTATACAAAAATAATATAAAGGACTTCTTTTCCACCATCTTAATTTGTTTTATTTTCCCTTTCTAGTTGTTTGCATAACAGGTTAAACTTTCCAGTCAGACAACCCATAGGAAAAGATTAATGAGTCAGAGAATAACTTTTTTTATGAGAGACAAATCTATGCGATTGGCCAAATGCTTAGAGTACAAACTTGTAAGGTGTACGTGACTGCACGCAACAGGGAAATCAGCTGTGGTCCAAAAGGTTCAAGTTTTAAAGTAACGGCTTAAAGAAAGCATTAGAAAAAAGTGAAAGTCAGTTTAGACATTTAAAACAGTTTAAGACAGTTTAAAACTCAAGTACTGATTGAAGTTTAAAATAATAATAAAAAGTTTCCAATCACACCTAAATAAAAAAAACCATTAAGCTATAAAGATTCTGTTTAATTCTAAAGTCATCTCTTGGATTTTGTTTACTCAAACATAAGTTCTGATAGTCTGAGTCACCATTTCACACTCGAATGGGAGACAAACAATAATATCCTTTGTACAAGTTCCTCTTGTTTGACTTGTTTACTCTGTAAATCCTCCCATTAACTTCTTGGTTTGCTTCTGCTCACTCAGTTGTTTTTGTTTTTTTTCCATGCCCCTGTCGGCTCTTCATTCGGCCCTCATCTTGTGGACGACGACAAGGGTGGTGACAACCCCAGCCAGAAAAATCCCCAAAAATTGCCACATGGGAATGCCGACGTAGGAAAAAATTCCCTCCTACAAATTTAAAAAGATAT